ATCTAAGCCCTCTGTTTCCATGGAACACCAGCCATTGGTGGGGAGGTCCATTACTGGGGACAGGGGCACCTTTTCTTCTATGAATTCCGTATCCTCCCAGGAGTCTCTGTGTTGGGGCAAGGAAGCTGGCATAAAGGAAGCTTTATTGTTACATCCCTACTCTACACAAGGCTCAGCTTAACTGTGGGATTTACATACCTCAACCAGCACTCTAGAAACCTGTGAACAGATATCACTGAGGAAACGGAGACAGAGAGAGTAGAACTGACCTTTTCAGAGTGAACCGCCCCTCATTGGTCTGGTAGACTTCGTGGGCTCTCAGGCTCTCGGGAGTTGACAGTCTCCGCACTGTGGACTGAGCCACCCCTGATGAGTTCCTCAGTGAGCTCTTCAGGCCTTTAGGGGTTGGCCTCCACAATTCAAGGGCAGAGCCGGTCCTTCACCAACCTCGGGAGGGTGCCAGGCTAGGCACAAAGTCCAGAATTTCCACCAGGCCTTTGCAGCTACTCTATGGGTTATCCACCAAGGATCCCCTTGGCGTGGCCAGATTCTGCCCACAGTGAGAGGCGGAGGAGCAGCGTCCCACAACGGGAGAGCCCGCTCAGGCTCCCACAACTGGACACGTTCAAGCCCCTGTTCTCTGCCCTCTAACCCTGCGCTTCTGCAAGGCCAGGTGCACACACCTGCTTCTCATCTAGCGTTAAGTGAGCCAGGCTTTGTACCCACTAAACAGCACTCACCCCTGAACTTCGCCGAAGTCCTGGCTGATAGCTTTTCAACATCTGGGCATGCGTAAGTGATGAAAACTTCGGGGATCCCGGAGGGCCCCTCGAACCGGTGGAATGTATGTGGAACACTTGCGGAGAGTGGGAAGTCGTGAGCGGTTAGCTGTCCACACGTGGCTGCTCCCTGATCCACAGTGAGGACCCTCATGCGTGGGCAGTGGCAGGTACTAGGCGTGTCCCCGAGGTAGCCCTGTGAGGAGGGTCTGAAGATATAGGCATTCAAGACACTGGAGTGGCCCCTCAGAACTGTCACTTTCCTCGTCGTGTTGACTAGTTTTATGTCAACTTAACACAAAGGAGACTCACTCCAGAAGAAGGACTTCAGTTGAGAAAATGTGTTCATAAGATCAGGAAAGTCTGCAGTGCATTTTTTTTTTCTTTTCTTGTTTTGTTTGAGACAGGGTTTCTCTGTGTGTCCTTGGCTGTCCTGGACTCGCTTTGTAGACCAGGCTGGTCTCGAACTCAGAGATCTGCCTGCCTCTGCTTCCTTGAGTGCTGGGACTACAGGTGTGTGCCACCATGGCCAGCTGCATTTTCTTAACTAGTGATTGATGTGGGAGGGGCTACACAGGGGCACTTTGTGGAGTAGGTAGGCTGAAGAAGGAGGGAAGGAGGGAAGGAGGGAGGGAGGGGAGAAGAGAGAGCAGTAGTTTGCAAGAGATGGAGGGAGTGATGAGCAAGGGAGAGAGTGAGCAAGAGGGAGGGAAGGGGAGAGGCTTTGGTGTGTGAGAAAGGGAAAGAGGGAGGGAGTAACTGCATTTGTGGGTGAATGGAAAATGAATGAGCGAAAGAGTGAGTAAATTAGTGAATGAATAAGCAATGAATGCAGCTGAAGTGGTGGAGGAAGCGATTTATCTTTCCCACTCAGCTAATCCAGGAAGTTTCCACAGTCAGATGGTGTTTGAAGGGTTGTGGTCAGTGATGACAGAACCCTGACATGACCTTTGATGGTATGAGAGGGAAAAAAAAAAAAACACAATAGTCAGAAGCTAGGTGGATGGGGCTGAGCTCTTCCTCCCCAAACCCCTCCCACCAGCCCTTCAGCTGTCTCCTCACGCTAACAGGGACAGGCCTACCTCTCTACTGTTCAGAAGGCAGGGCCAGGCGCTCCACAGCCCAGCATGCAACAGGCACTTGGCTTATAGCCTGGTACATTCTTGTATGGACCTGGCCCATGGAAGGTGGAAGGTTTTGTAGGCTTCTTCCCTTTTGGGGAAGCACTACCCTTCCTGCTAAGTGCTATGCTTTGTCTCCAAGGCGGGGAAGCCCAAGACAATTGTCTGTACAGAGGGCCAGTGTCCAGACTGCCCAGGTCCATCTGAGTCGCCTCAAGCACACAGGTTCTAACTTCACCTGCCTGTCCCACGCTTCGATCCCAGGACCCTCCAGAGACACGCCTACTTCAGGTTGCTCTCTTCCGGTCCCCTTCAGGTTGTCCTCATGGCCCCATCCTCCTGTCTGTCTCCAGCCTCCCTGACTGTTGATTTTAGTTGCTTCACTGAGAGGTCATTGAAGTGGGGATTCCCGGTTGGAGAGTTAGCTCATTGGTAAAAAATGAAAATGTCTGTTGTTCAGTCCATCATCTGTGCAAAAGTGGGAAATCCCAGCCTAGTTAAAAAGATCTTCCTTAGTTGTTCAAGAATACATGCTTTTGTCATAAGTAAAATGGACCCCACTGATCTTTCATTTAGCCCCTTTCCACCACGTGTATTTTTCTTGACCTTGGGTTATGCTGAGAAGAACAACTCACAAGTGTTGGAGCCACTTGGGAATCACCAGGACCTCCTTCCTCATAACCTGTCTTCCTCACAGAGACTGTCAGGACAGCTCACAGGGTCCATGCATTCCAATGATACTGTGTTTCCAGGGTGCTGGTCCGGGGTGACATCAGAGCCCTAAGGTTGAAGGGAGGGGAGAGGCTAAGACAGGTAGAAGGGTTGGAGAGGGCACTGGGGCCCATGGAGGAAGGATAGAGTCAGGGCAGATTAGGGCTTTGGAGACAGCAGGACGACTATCCCTCTGCTGTACTTGGAGGACAGGTATGGGAATGGGAGGCTGTTTGGTGTCACTTTGTCAAAGGCAGTACAGAACCTTGAAGACCCACAGCCTGTTCCACCTGTCTGCCCTTCACTGCGACCACTTTACACTCAGAGGTCCTGGTCCTGGTCCCCATGTTCCAAGGGCTCACCTCTTTTGTTAGGTTTGGCCCTCCAAGAGGAAAAATGTGTACCTACAGAGGTAAGAATGTCTTGTTTTAAAAAGGAAGCAGAGAGGCTGCAAAAATGGGTCAGTTCACAAAGTGGGGAGCAATAAAGGAAGATATTAGGTGTTAACCTTTGGTCTTCAAACACACTTGTTGATGGTCTTTAATATTTATTATTGATTTGTCTTTTAGTTAAACAACAGTTATTCTTAAACCAGCTGTATACCCAAATCACCACACAGACACTAGGATTTATTTAATTAACCTAGGGCACAATGTTGGGCAATAATTACTCCATCCTGAACCTCCATGCCTGCATAGCTTCCTCCCATTCGAATTTCCCACATTATTCTTGCTTTTAGTCACATCTTAGATCCAGTTCATCTCTCCTAATGCCTCCTGGTCCTCTCCTCTCAGATTTCTCCTCCCATTCCTTCTTTCTCCTCCCCTCAGGACCAGGATGTCCCACCCTGTTCTCTCCATTGCTCAGCACTGGCTGGTTGTTTTTTTGGCAATACAGAGAACAAATGGTGGCATGTTTACACAAACTTGAGCCAGGTGATGCTTAGACTAAGCATCAAAATGCTTGAAACCAGATAGTGGGGTAGAGAAATCAGCATGTGAATGAACAAGGGTAAATTGCATACATTCCACAAGAACATTATACCAACACACACCCACACATCCATGAAAAAAAAATCAGTCAAACAAAAAAAAAAAAAAAAGAAAACACTAAAGAGAAAGCCAGAAGCTGGTGGTACATGCTTGCAATCCCACCCTTGGGAGGTGGAGACAAGAAGATCACCAGACAACAGGGCATTCTCTGTTATTCTGTTATTTAGTGAGTCTGAGCTCCAGAAAACCTTGTGCTCTTGAAGGAAAAAAAAAAAAAAAAAGCAGCAATAGCAAAAAGAAGTTAGGATCAACTTCTATTTTTGTGTTCTTATTATCAGTACTTCTTACAACAGTGAACAAAAATTAACCTCAGGTGTCATTTCTGAGCATCTTCTGTGATGTGTGTGCTTCACGGGCGTCAGCTCCGAGGACTGCCAAGCTCAGAGTCCTGGGCTCCTGTACTCCAAGTACACTCTTGTGTGTGTGTGGGGGGGGAGGTCAGTCCCAATAGTGGTGACCCAGTGAGGTAGCTAACAAAAGCACGGGTATGACTCAGCCTAGACAAGACCTCTTATGCCAGAGCTGGGATTTAAGGCAACACTGGAGAAAATGGGGTAGAGGTGGGCTTGCTCTTGACTTGCCTCTTCAGGATCCCCACACTACTTTCCCTGTGATGCCAAGGCCAGAAGCTACAAGGCAAAGAAAGGCATGCCAGATGCCAAATATTGCCTTATCTGGTAGCAGCTATGAAGAGCAGCAACCACTTCCTGGTGTCCACTGGCACTTCCTAATGTAAATGGTTGAGGGGTCGCTGGGGAGGATGTATGGGGCTACTAGCAGCCGGAGCAACGGGCTGCCATGTCCCATGGCTTCCCTATAAGACCAGACCCTGTTGGGAGCCCTCAGGGTTGGAGTTCAGTCCCCGATGGCTCTTTGGCTGTATACAGACAGCCCCTAGGCACCGTGATGGTAACTCTGACTGCAGTTCATGTCCACCTCTGTGGGGATCCCCAGGAAGCACTGTGGCAGCCACTGGGCAATGCAGGAAAGCATAGAAGATCAAGCCGTACACCCAGTGCTCGGCCAAGTGACCTGCTGATGGCTGTTGGGAGCCCTGTAGAGCAAGCTCCTGCTGCTGCTGAAGAACTCTCCTGCCAGCCGCATGCTCCCTGAATCCCTGGCAGCCTAGCGGTATGACAGGTGCCCCTAGCACGCTGCCACTTTCCACCCAGGAGAGCCTGGAGTTTCTAGACATCCGAGAAACAGATGTTTACAGAGCTGGTGGCCCTAGGAAGGAAAGACTAGCAGCATATCTTCCAGAAAGGCATCTACAGTGCTGGGGACACCCCAGATGGTAGCTCAAAGGCCCAGGGATATGTGACAGGCCCTGGTTTTGAGGCTTAGCATCCTCCCCTGAGGAAGAGTGGGGCTTAGCAGAATTCCTCAGGCAGTCTCTCTGGCGTACACAGTACGCCCAGTTTGGCTGGCTGTGATCCTGGAAGGTGCACGGGGTCAGGGAAGGTATAGGTGCTTGTGAGAGCTGTGGGTGAGCGTATCTCCTCAGAGTCCTTTAAGTATGTGACATCTGTCTTTGTGGACCACTTTTTCCACTCTGTGTGGATTCGGGACACTTCTTGCCGAGAATGGTCTGTGGCCAGCACATAGATGATGGGGTCAGCCACACTATTGACTGTGGACAGGCACAGAAACACCACAGAGGCTGTGTATAGTCTTCTTTCAAATTCACACACGGCGAGCCTGTCTCCTCGGTAGAAGGAGAAGCTGGCAGCTTTGATGAGGAGCACCACATGGTATGGAGCGAAGCAGACCAGGAAGATGGTGACGACCGCGATGGCTGAGTGCTTCACGTTGGTTTTCTGTGCCGCGCTCAGGCTCATGCTGAGCTTGATGCTCCTGAAAACCCGGTGATTGGTGAATGCAAGGATGCCAAGAGGGACAGCAAAGCCAAAGGTAAAACGCAGGTAATGGTAGTTGGCTATCTTACCATCCATCCCCAGGGGCTCAAAGCAGGAGCGTTCCACTTTCATGTCAAACACTGGGTAGTTGACAAGTGCCACGAGAACAAACACACACACAGAAACAATGATGGCCGTCTTCTGGTGGCGGCGGCCTCGGCTCTCCAGAGCGTAGACTACCGCCAGGTAGCGGTCGCAGGAAATGCAGCACAGTAGAAGAATGCTGATGTAGATGTTGCAAAAGAAGACGTAGGCAGTCACTCGGCAGGCCTGTGGACCCAGGGTCCAATTGTGCTGGTTCTGGATGTAGATGATCCAGAGCGGCAGCGTGCCGATGTAGAACAGCTCACAGAGTGACAGGCAGAACAGGTAGACGGCCAGCACGTTTCCCTGCAGCACCTGCAGCAGCGTCAGCCACGCAGTTAGGCAGTTGGCCGGCAGGCCCAGTATGCACACAGCGCTGTACACCAGCACCACCACCACTCTGCTCTCATCATAGGGTGGGTGGCGTGTGACCGAGGCACACGCCTGAAGTATGAGCCCCAGGGTGGCGTTTCCTGCAGGACAGAAATGACAGGGTGGGTAGGAGTTTTTTGGAACACACCCCCCTCCAGGGAGATTTATAATACCAAGAAAAGGTGAGAAGCTCGGTGGTGGTAGGGCTGGAGAGATGACTCAGCGGGGAAAACCTACTTGCTGCAAAGCCTCACGACTGAGTTTGGTCCCAGGATCCCACAGTAGAAGAAGAGAGCCAACTCCTGAAAGTTATTCTCCGAATCTCACACACATGCACTGTGGCGCATGCATGCCTGCTGCACACACACACACACACACACACACATACAAACAAGCATACACACAAACACACACACACACACACACACACACACACACACACCAACATACACACACAACTAATAAACAAAATTTATAAACAAAAGAGAAGCTTCTCAGACTCCAGACTAGACATACCAGGAGTTCAAAAGACTCCAGCTGGAGGGACTCTGCAGGATGAGAGACTTGGGACAGACATCAACCCCAGGCTGCTGTGGAGGACAAGTTCTTCCCTACACCCTTTCCCTCTGGCCACTGGCCATCTGGTGGAGAAACCTTCAGCATGTGCTGGCTCACGCAGTGTCCTGGTTCCTTGACCTCCCCCAGGACTCTAGGACCTGTTGATCCCTTGACCCACCCACACAGACATCCAACTGTCCAGAGAAACGTTGTGTCCCACATGCTGGCATGGCTCTGGGTGTCCCAGGCAGTTGCCCCAGACTCCCTGGGACCTCCGCTGCCCACATCATAATCCTCAGCCTGATGGATTCCAGAAGGACCGCTTTGGCCGTACGTTGTCAGCTGAGAACTGTACTGCTCCTCAGGAGAGGGCCTCTTGTCCAGAGGTGGCTGTCCCCAACCACAGAGCCTAATGCTTTCTTATGCAATGATATATTTTCCAGGCTTCCTCTTTAAGATCGTGATGAAACACACATCTCACAAAATGTTCCCTCCGAGTCATTACCCAGCATGCAGTTGATTATCACCAAGTACATCCTCTGTGCTGAGCTCAACCACTGTGCACCTCCAGCTTCTTCTCAGCCTGGAGACCAGAACCCTTCTAGAAATACTGACCCCGCTTTCCCTCCCACCCATTCTCCCTGACTCTGTAGAGGAACCTTGAACAGATGGAGTCATCTTCAGTGTAAATTTATTCTACTGAATGTAGTGTCCTCGAGGTTCATTCACATCGTAGGATGTGTCAGAACTTCCTCTTCTTCTTCTTCTTCTTCTTCTTCTTCTTCTTCTTCTTCTTCTTCTTCTTCTTCTTCTTCTTCTTTTGTTTTTTGTTTCATTTGGTTTTTTTTGGGGGGGGTTGGTTTGTTTTTGTTTTTTGAGACAGGGTTTCTCTGTGTAGCTCTGGCTGTCCTGGACTAGCTTTGCAGACCAGGCTGGCCTTGAACTCCCAGAAATCCACCTGCCTCTGCCTCCCTGAGTACTGGGATCACAGGTGTAGGCCACCGCGCCCACCACATCTCTTCTTTTTAAGACACTCCATGCAGAGAGGCCTTCCACAGTGGACACACACACACCTTACAGTTTGCCCTGTGTGCTTGGACTCTAGGCTGCTTGCCACCATTGGACTAGTTATTATAAACAATGCTTTTGTGAGCTTTGGTGTTCGTTGACTTCTGTCCCTGCTGTCTTCTTCTTGGGAATATCCCAAAGCGAGCTTGCTGGGTCACGTGGCCACTCTGTTTACTCTTGAGGAAGTCTGTGTTACTTTCCACTGCTTGACCGCCCTACCCACAGAGCTCAGGGCTAGCCAGTTTCTGCCTTTTTTTTTCCCTTCCTTTTTGACTGTGGGTGTGGGGTGCCACCTTCCCACAGTCTCGGTGCCCTTGCTCACCACTCAGGGGCATGCTGTTATCACATCTAGATAGAGAAAGCGAGACTGAGGTTCCAGGAGTGGTGAGCTGCCTTGGAGCCCAGTGCCAAATCTTGGCATAGGAACCTGTGTGGGGCCAGCGGGCAGTGAAGGTGAGGGGTGGCAGCTACTGGTGTCTAGATGTTTACACTGGTCTTTACCTGGGCAGCTCTCCTCCCACTGTGAAAGCACCCTCAGGCAGGCATGGGAGTCTGTTCCCACTCCCTGGTTCAGACACACCTCTGTCCTCCTGCCCTGTCTCTATTTCACTGCTTGATTCCAGTGAATCATCTCTGTCCCCCACCTCACCCCACCTATACACCACACAATTTTACTGAAAGCGGCAAGAAACGCGATGAGGGACTGACCTGTGGCCTTTCCCAGCACCACACTGTCTAGCTACAGACATCCTGGTGTGGCTCTGTCCCTTTGCCACATGCTCAGGCCCACATAAGCCTTTGGATCTTCACTGTGGATACTAGGTTCTGCGACACACTCCATCTGCGGATGAGGTAGCCCAGTCGAGACAGCCGGGCACCAGGGAAGCCTATGGGCTTCAAAGAATCACCCTGGACACCACAGTTAAAACTGCTACTTGTGTGGGGTCCTCACAACCCCACATCCCTGCAGGTTACCTTGGAAACTCCTCTTTGGGATGAGGAGGAGCCTCTGCAGTGAAAAGAAGGGTGAGGAGGGTGGCATCAGGGAAAATCATGGGAAGCTCCTGGTCAACTGCTTATTGGGGCCTCCCAACGGCTTTCTTAGGACACCAGATGGCTCGTGACTCACCACTTGTCACTCTCCCAGGAAGTATACATTCAGAGTGCCAAATGGCCCCCACTCTTGCGCCTGACTTTCTCTAGCACTTGAAATGAGTATGTCTTACTTCGATTGATTGATGATTGATTGAGGCAGTCTCTGGGCCAGGATGGTCTCACATGGTCTAGCATGTGCCACTTACTATACTTGGTTGTATGTGCTGGTGGACATTGGTCCCATGGCTTCATGCTCGACAAGAGCTCTAACTCACTGAGCCACATGCTCAGCCCATTGCATCTTGACGTCTTGATGGAGCATCTCTGAGTCTGTTTTTATTATAGGAATCTGCATCTTAACTTTTTACTGGTGAGACCAAGTGTGCCACATGGGAATTCTTGTGGGCCTTCTTAAATGTCTAAGTCAAATGCGACTCTCACCTGGTGCACTGGTGGGTTCCGATCTCATGGTGGCTCCTATGTGCGCTCTGGGGACCCCCTTGTGAATGTGGTTCCAGCTTAAAATGACCTGAAGAGAAAACAATTTGAAATGAATTTAGGTGAAAATGCAGAAAAACAACAACAACAATAAACCAACCAATCAATCAACCAGCCAGCCAGCCAGCCAGCCAGGCATGGTGTTGCATGCCTACAATCCCAGATTAAATCACACGGATTGACTCATTCAACAAAGATTCTAGAGCATCCCACAGTCAACAAAAGGTAACCCAGTTGAGACATCCGGGTACCAGAGAAGCCAATGGGCTTCAAAGCACCACCCTGGATACCACAGTAAAAACTGTTATTTGTCAGATATAGTTGGAAAAGCTATTGGTGCGTGAGCTTACATAGAGGGAACGCTCCCAGTCAGCCGAGAAATGCAAAATAAGCATGAGGAAAGGCTCTTTGTTTTGTCTGTCTGCCTATCAGGTTGGCAAAAACAACTAAGTCAGTGGATTGGACACTAAGGCATGGCACCCTGAAGCTACACGGTGGGATGGCCAGTGGGTACAAACATTTCAGAGCCCAATTTTGCAGTCAGTTTCCAACCTGAAGAAAGTTTAACTTTTAATTTGCTAAAATTCCTCGTAGGGAATTTTTCCTAATTAAATAATTACCTAAAATGTTAAGTGTGTTGACCCAAAAGCCATAAGTAAGTACATCAACAATATAAAGGGGACAAGGAAGATCCTATGAGCACATAAAGCTGTGGACTGAGGAATCCGGAGGACCCTTTCCCTCTGTGGCTGAGGGGAGGCTTCTGAAACAGGCCCTATGTCACCTAGGTGATGAGCTTTTAAAAAGGATGTTCAGTGCATCCTCAGTGTTAGAGAAGTCTCAGCCAGTGCCCCCAAAGCCCAAGGAACAACTCAGGCCTGTCAACACCCCTGTGTCCCCAGGCCTACAAGTGAAGGGCAGGACTGGGCCTGAAAGAGTTCCTCACTAAATCCAGCCCACCTGCTCCCCTAACATGTATGGCTGTCCCTCAGTCAGGCAGACAGCCACAGAATCTGCCCAAAGTACACTGGGCCTTTGGGAGTGAACACTGAAATTCGGTGGAAGCCAGTCCAAGTGGAGCTGAGCCCAAGACATCCATACCAGGTAGGGAGCCTCACAAGTCAGGTACCAGTTCCCAGCTTCCATGCTTCCTTCTCAAGTGTTTCTAAAAACTGGAAATAACAGAAAGCCAAACCATCCACCTGAGATTACAGAGTTCACTGACCTCTGAAGAAGTGTAATGGCTCAGCACACATTAGAGGCAAGACCAAGAAGAACCATTGCCAAGCACCGTCTGTCAGCAGGCTCCTTGCATTACCCCAACATGCCTTGACCTGATGAGCACCAGGACAGGTGTCTGACTATCCCTCTGGGTCTCAGGCCTGAGTGGTCTGTGAGCTTTAAAGGCTTGCTGGCCACTCTCTGCTCTACATCTGAGGCAGCAAGCTTCCTTTCCTTCCAAATTCAAAATGCCGCTAATCATGACCCACATGATGGCATGGACCAGGGCCTGGAGCCGCAGAGTCAGAGCAGTGAGAGGCCTTTCCCTGCAGATCGAGTTAGCATTCTGGAAAGCTGGCAGAGCTAGCCTAGGACAGCTCTGTCCTCTGCAGGGGCTGCACTGTGCTCATTCTAAGCAGCTGGCAGCCTTGAGAATGAGGAAGGGGGTGGTGCTCAGGGTTCAGCCACTTTGCAGAAGCCAGAGGAAGCAAGGGCTCAACAGAAACGTGACGATCACTTCCCCCTTGAGATGAGAATGCACTGGTGGAAACTGTCCCTGCTACAAGTGAAGCCTGTCACCTGTGGACAGAGCTTGGCCAGAGAGATAGAGTGGACGGTTGGGAGTAACTGCCCTAAATTAGGGCAACACAAGGCTATAGTATCTACATCTGGGTCATGTCCCAAAACCCCGGGGCATCAACACCCACATCAAAGGAGGTCAGCCATGAGGCTCAGGCAGGAGCAGCCTGTGCTGGGACACCAGGATGGGGAGCTCTTGAATCCCCACACTGTGATGTGGCCCCTCACCATGGCTGGTCTTGGGTGCCCCCAGCTGTGACACAGCTCTTGACCTTGTGCTCTAGTCGTTGTCTTTTGTTCTCAGAGAACATCATGCTTTAGGCTTGTCCCTTTCCTAACCTGCCAGGCTCCCTGACACTTCTCTTTCTTGTCAGTCTTCTATGTTCTAAAAGGGTCTTGCTCAGGACCCCTGTCCTGTCTAAGCTCCGAGGGTCCCTGGCCAGATCAGTTGTTACGGACATCTTTCAACAACTAGGTCATTTCTTCCATAGGAAGGGGCGTGAGTCAATGACCCTATGCTCCAAGACATAGGCCTTTCCCAGAGTGTGGCTGGACTAGGCCACATGAATGCCTGAGCTAAGTGCTGAAGTGGGAAGAGCCAGGAGAAGAGAACAATCCCTGGGTCTGTCCCGTTCACTGGGTAGACACTGCCTCTCTGTTTGCTGTGGGGGTCTGGCCTGGCTGTCAGAAGTGATTTTTCCTATTGACATCCTGGGCCATCTTTAGGGCTGTGTCTCATCTGTGAGATAGTTGGAAATGTCTGGTTCCTGAGGGGAGAAAGATCATGGCCAACTTTCCTCAGGACTCAGCAACAGTGTGCTTTCAGACCTTCTAAGAATCTGGCAGAGAATGCTCTCCCATACCCTTGAAGCCCACGAGGCCCACACCATCCACATAAAGGCCACACCCACATCGTTTACCATGCTCACGATGTCTGCTTGGGCCTGGCAGACTCAGGTGCCCTCCTAGGTATATACTCAAAGGGCCTGTAACAGACTGAACCCCAGCAACCCATCAAGGATCCCTTGGACAAAGGGCGGCCCAGCTGGCATGACCTTGGCAGGACACTGTATTGCTGCAGCCACCAGGTTACATGGTGAATGCGCCCATGTCACCTGGACGTCCCCATGAGTTCCCTCAGGCTGCCCTGAGTTCCAGCCACACCTCTACTTCCCCTTGAGCCCAGCCCTCATGCTTACCCTGATGTTCTCCATCCTGTCTTTCACCCACACCTTCCCTCTGCTCACCCAGCTCTCATCGTCCTTCCGCCTTCCTGTCTCCAGCCTCCTGCAGAGCCATCCCCATGCAGCCCCTACAGCTGCTTAGCCCCTTCGGTAGACCCGTCTTCTGGGAAGAGAGGCACTTGGAGTCCCCAGGGCACACACCGGCAACCCGCCACCTGGAAGGTCTGGCCCTGGAGCCCTATGCTCTGCCTGCACCGAGGAGGGACTATCCCCTGACGGGTGCTTGCCATCTTTTGACTATGGAGCTTTCCTAACAGGCAGGAAAGTACAAAAGAAAGACATACCTTGTCTCTGCTACCTGCTGGTTCTACCTGCTTGTTTCTCTTGGGCCTGGAGAGGTGACTGTAGCCCTGGGTGGCTGGGCTATCCCTTTGAGTCACTAGCATGCTGTGCCCCGTGTCTCTTCAAGAGGCATCTCTGGTTGTTTTTTAATTAGTTAATTGATCTATCTATTTATCTACTTAATGTATCAGTGTTCTATTTGCATGTACACCTGCATGCCAGAAGAGGGCATCAGATCCCAGTATAGACGGTTGTGAGCCACCATGTGGTTGCTGGGAACTGAACTCAGGATCCCCGGAAGAGCAGACAGTGCTCCTAACCGCTGAGCCATCTCTCCAGCTCATCTCTGGCTGTTTTGGTCTTTCACTTTTCCATCCTTCTACAAGGTTTTTTGTGGGGGTGTGAGGAGGGGTGACAGCTCAGTGAACCTATATTTGGATTCCCAGAAGCCACAGAAATGCCTGGTGGATATGGCAGTCCACCAACAATTCTACCCTTGGAAGACAGAGATGGGATCCCCTGAAGAAGCCAGCTAGCAAGGCTAGACATAGCTGAAGACTCTGGGCTTGACTGAAAGACCCTGCCCCAGTGAGGAGGGTGAAAGGGCAATGGAGGATAATTTGGGGGATTCGTCTCTGGTCTCCATATTCATGTGAAAACATATATGTCCACACACATGGAAACACACACACACATACACACACATACACACACACACACACACACACACACACACACACAGAGCAAGAGAGGAGAGAGAGGAAGGCAAAAAGAAAAAAAAATCTTCAACCTAATTTCCGCCTTCAAATTCAAGACGCCTTTTGGGGAGGAACTGTTAAATTACAAGTGTCAACCACCCACCATGTGAACCTGGGGCCCAGCCCCCACACACGCCTCTCAATTTGATATGTCAAAAACGCCATTCTCTAATGCATATTTCAGTTTGACTGATGTCTTCCCTCGGGGTATCTCCATCCTCACCCTCCTCATGGTTAATCCTCATGGTTAAAACACTGGGCCACGTGTCCTTACCACCAAGACCATAACAAGGGCTTGCCTTCTTCTCAGTCCTCAGTGGCTAACCTGAACACTTCGTCTGTCCAGCTAGCACACATCTAGGAGGAGTTATACGATCGCCTCTGCCGACACTCTAAATGCCAGGCCTCAGAAGTCAGTAAGTGGCCAGCTCCACGACCCCATTCTCCCTCCTCAGAACCTGCTTCCAACCCTAGGCCACTCCTCGAAAGAGAAGCCACTCACCCCACCAGCCACCAACACTGTCCAGGATGCCCGTAAGGGCTCTGTGGGCCCTGTTCCCTGTCAGAGGAAGTCCAGTCGCTCCAAGCTTGTCTGTACCTACAGATGGGGTAAGGATCTTCCAGAAGGGTCCAGGTAGGTTAGGTCACAGGTAGTATGATGTATACTATTATCCCTGTGCCCCAAAGTTAGGTGGGTATGGTGCTCCTGAGTTCCCTTTTGGGGACAGGCCTTGGCTAAACCCTGCTATCGTACAGTCAAATCACATTTCTGTCAGATGCCACTGTGGAAGGGCTGCCCCCCAGGCCCACTCCCCAGATCTAGGATCCACAGACTTACCCACTCTCGTCCTGAGACAGCGCTGAGCAGGCCTGTCCTGAGGCAGCAC